TACGTGTGGACCGCCAAAAAGCTGCGCACCCGCCTCGCCAGCAACGCCAGAAACCGGTTGGAGCTCCACCTTTCAATGTTGCCGGGGCTCCCCGACACTGTCTGTGAGATTGTCGAAGTAGAATCGCTTAAACTGGAGCAGCTTAAAAACGTCACCATCCCATCGAGCGTAGCAAAGCTGGACTCCCTTCGGGAGTTGTCGCTGGTCTTCTGCCCCGTGAAGCTGCAGCTTTCTGCCCTGAACCACTTCAAGGCACACTTAAAGGTGCTGTGTCTAGATTTTGAAAGTTTAGAAGAAGTGCCTATTTGGATGTACAGCCTGCATAGCTTGGAGGAGTTACATCTGAGTGGTCCTTTAGCCAATGAGGTGTCAAAAAGTGCCACTCTTGACTCTCTTCGAGAGCTTAAAGCGCTGAGAGTCCTCTGCCTCCACTGTGACCTCACCAAGATCCCACCCAGCGTGGTGGATGTCGCGTTGCAGCTGCAGCGCTTGTGTATCCATAACGAAGGTGTCAAGCTGCAGGCTTTTAGCAGCCTGAAGAAGTTAACCAGCTTGGTCTCGCTGGAGGTGGTGGGCTGCGAGCTAGAGCGCATCCCGAGTGCCGTCTTCAGCCTGATCAATATGCAGGAGCTGGACCTGAAGGACAACAAACTCAGCACAGTGGAGGAGATCCTGAGCTTGCAGCACTGCCACCGATTGGTGACACTGAAACTGTGGAACAACAAAATCACTTACATCCCCGATCACATCAGTAAGCTGCACACCCTGGAGACGCTAGACGTCAGCTGGAACAAGCTACGGAAGCTTCCCTCTCGGCTGTTTTATTGCACCAAACTCAGGCACCTCGATGTCTCCCACAACCAGCTCACCTCCCTTCCTCCTGAGGTGGGCATCCTGCAGGGCCTCCAGTTCTTCTCCGCTGCTTTCAACTCCCTCGAGTCGCTGCCGGACGAGCTGTTCTCCTGTAAAAGAATAAAGACGTTGGCTCTCGGAAACAACTGCCTGTCAGATATCAGCTGCAGAGTCGGCAACCTGGCCCAGTTGGTGCGGCTAGAGGTTAAAGGGAACCGCCTGGAGTCTCTGCCTGTGGAGATCGGGGACTGTCCCCTGCTGAATCTCAGCGGGCTGATCGTGGAGGACAACCTGAGGGATCTGCTGCCATCAGATGTACGGAGCAGGTTGACCAATCGCTGAGTTTGTGGAGCGACGGGCTGCTGCTGACTCATCTAGTCCCCGTGTACGGTGGTCCATGGAGACATTCATTTGTGCCTCTAGGTCGAATGTATCATATAAAACAGCATAAAAGGGGAATCCATAACCATGACCCCACAAAAGACAGTCAATCTCTAGAACTCATCGTGAGCCATAACTATGGCTATTTTTATACTTTTGAAACATCAAGGGCTTAACACAAATAAAACCTTCAGTGTTTACTGAATATTTTGTGGATTCTTGAGGGTAACGGTCGTAGAATTTGTGACGGTGCCGTATCCCGTTGGACAGGTTTGCACAGCGTGAGGAGGCGGTTCATGTTGCTCCCTTTCAGTCACTGAACAAGTGGAGGGAGAAAAGGCCTTTCAGAAGCAGAATAAAAGGTATTCATCCCCCTGTTTACACATTCAGTCCAACAGGTAAGCCTATTATTAGAAGTCAGGTCACATAATAATTAATGAGAAATACAATCAAACTATCTTTTTAAGCAACTTTTGAATGAACATTCATACGTTCTTCATAGTTTTTCTCTGTATTCATTTAAAGAAAAACATTTTTTACAGTAAAATATTGGTAATTATTTCCTGTTGAGCAGCTGGATGTTTATCTGATGCGGTTACAGTTACTGTGCCTTTTTGAAGACCGCCAAGCAAGACACTGGAGTGACTTAAACACTGTTAAACTGCTCGTCACTGTAGCTGCTCGTGTTCCGTGTTAAGATGAAGGGTACACGAGGAGCTTTCAGGTGGATCCATTTTGCTTGAAGTTTACTCTGTTCAGTCTCTCTTAAACAAACAAGTGCACAGTCGTTGTTTCTTCCTGTATCCTTTCTTTGTTCTCCCCCCTTGTTCCGTCTGCGGGCGTCGTGCTTGAGCCGGGGGTTAAACTTTTCCGCCTGAACGACAGAGCTGTCGTGTCGGGGCTTGCATGGAGACAAAATGGGATCCTGTCAGTAAGTTCACAGACATACTTCAGGTAATCTGGCGAATACCGTGACCTTGCTACACTGCAACACAGCTCCCAAGATCATACGAAAGACCTGTTTATTTTGTCATTATTTTATCATTTAGTTGGATTTAGAGGTGAGTGCAAGACTGACATTTGTCCTAAAAATGAAGCTACTAATGTCATAATGCTTTGTCAATCATCTACTTATGTGTTTTCCTCTCTGAAGGTGGCAGCTAAGTGTGTTACCGGCATTAATCCAAACAGATAATTATTGCATCCAAGGCTTGGCCGGAAACAACTAACAACATGTTATGTCTCCAGGGGGGTTGTTTGAGGTTGCCGGGGGTGATCTTCAGTCATACCTGTGGAGTGTGCCTTCACGACTGGCTTCAATGGTGCAGTATTTACATCTGAAAATCAGATTAGCGAGCTCCTTCCCCCACTGGGGGAACTCTGAAGGGTCCGGATGTAGTTTTTCTGCAGGCCGTGGTTCCCTGCAGCTCGGTGAGCTGAGCTGAGCTGAAGAGTTGACAGTTTACAGTGACGCACGTCTCAGATTTCACCAGTTTTTAGTATGATAGTAAAGTGGTGTCAAGGTTCAGAATCCATCCGACGCCTCATATTATTTCATCACTGAGTGATCAACCGTATCTTGTGTGATACCCTAGTTAAAGTTAAACGCAGGGAGGAGGACTCATCATTTGGGTAACATTCCACTGACATTCAAAGGCTTTTTGTCACTGATTATCCCACTAGTTGGTATGTGAAGGGAAAGGGAATTGAAAAACACTCAGAGGGAGCGAGAAGGAGTCATATCGGACTAAAAACACTGACTTGTCTAATTAACACTGTTAAAACCTCAAAGTAATCTCAGCTAAATTAAAAAAGGCCTTTTCTAACATAAAGGAGACATCCCTGTTTTCTTACAGTGTAGTCGCATTACATTTGGCATCTTCCACCAAAGTTTTCCAAACTGCACCTTTAAGACACCTTAACCTTTAACTTCTTCACCGCTTCACCTTGTCATTACTCCTGCTATCATGACAGAAAGACACTAATTATACTAATGAATAATTGCATTCCCCTTTTTTTATTACAATTTACTTGTTTTTGACTAACAATCTACAATCCAAAGAGAATCATTTTTATTAGACTGTAAATTTTTACATTTTTGCTGCATTCAATTCATCTTATTTTTAGCCCGTATAGCTCTAAAAGGGAGGTCAAGGTGCATTCTTTTTCTGGATAAGGGTCTTAGGATAAAAAAGACACAGGAGAAACTACCACCACTGCAGCCCTCCATCAAACGGTTGTGATTAACAATGAGCTCCTTTGTGAGAGTCACACCTTACTCTCCCTCAGCGTTATCGCCGTCATGTGCTCCCGCAGGCTGCATGTATATGAGGGGAGGAGTTTTCTCCTCTACTTTTTTTTTGCAAACTCGTCCCTGTTACTGTTAACGTCCCAACCTGCAGAACAAACAAACCACAACGGTGTTCATATAGGGACTGTTTGCGCACACTGGCACACTGGTGAAGTAATGGAGCTCTACCTAGTGGCCGGAGGCAGGTCGGTCTGAGACTATCATGTTTGCAGCCCCCGTATTTTACATTTACATGGCGATGGACGCCAGCAGGCAGCTGCACGGTCCAGCATTTGACTGTTGGGCATCAAACAGCTCTACTGTTAAATGCTGAATCAATGATCTTCAGCAGTAGCTGTTGAGTCGTTTCCTTTCCCCAATAAAGATACACAACTATATAGTTTAGATAAATACATTAATAATGCAGACTCAAAGGATTGTAAAGGTAAAGGAAGTAGGCTACAGGTATCAAAACCCAGAAAGTACAATGTGTTATGTTAACAATGTGTTATGTTATAACTTTAAAGTTGAGTGGATGTTCATGTTTCACAGGATACTGTGTGAATGTATAACCATCTCATACCTAATAAACTGATGACTTAGTTTGTAAGCTTTTTAGCATCAAACTAGTAACTTAGGCTGGAAAATAAATGTACTAAAGTAAAGAGTACAGTATGTCATTACATTGTAGAAAGTTGCACAGTAAAAGGACTTCAAAATTGTATTTAAGGAGAGCACCAGAGTAGTTACTTTTTCCACCGCCGTTGTTTGTCAAATGGGTTTTGTGAGAAGCTCACATGTAAACTGGCACCACCGAAACATGCGTGGTGTCCACACACCGCAACTGAACTGTATCTCCTTTCTGGTGGAGAGCACAAACAAAATGGCCATTGTACTACGGCAGCCCACACAAACATCAGCAAACTGTGGCACCGTTACCTACCAGCCTCAACACAACAGGGCCCTCATTCATTTGGGGTTTTTAATCCAGCTATCTGCGCGACCTTGGAGGCTTCTCGCCGCGCCGCGCATTCCACCAGCCGGTCCTGTAAACGCCCCCATGGGAATAACCTCGGGGAAACACTCCAGGATACACAGAGTCAACGGTTTAAAGACAGTATGTTCCTTCATTCAAAGGGAAATGTACATCAAATGATTTTATAATTCAAGTGATTATGTGGTTCACAACGTTTTTTAGTATTTATGACAGAAGCTTAAAGTTGATAAAGTCTTGAGCAGCATCACATATGAGTATTTAAATTATTAAAGGACAGAAGAAGTCAAAGGTTACATTATTTCCCCAAGAACACATTTGTGAGTGAATGGGGTTTTGTCATCTTTCTTATCACAATCATCTTGCGACCCGATCACGAGGTTGGGAAACGCATTCCGGCGGGACGCTTTGACTAATAAATCGTCTAATATACAACTTCATTGTGGCTGAAACACGGTTTATGAATATAAAGAAAAGATGGTATTCAAGAATTCAAGTTCCCTTTATTCTGTGTTTGCTCTTCAAATACTAAAGTGAATAATCTCACTTTTGTTTTAAAATTATTTATATAAATAACATTTTAACAAACCACAATAAATGTTGCTATTTACAAAGTCACAGGAATATTCAGTTCTATTCCAACAATAAATAGGAGTAAATCCAAAGTCTAAATACATCTAATGAGAAACAAAACTATGAAAAGCAATAAGGGTGCACCACATCAAGGTCTGTAAAAGTGTTTAAAAACACATAGGGTTTCAACTGTTTCACAATGGGAATAAATGTAAAAATTACAAAACACTGGGGAAACGATCTTCAAATGTGCACTCCCAATAAAAAAGGGAAAACAGATACGTAAGGTGCCTAAATTGCACTGTGCAAAAGAGGTGTCTACTGTATATAGCCACCCCTCCACTGAAAACAAGCTGCCAGGACAATATGTCCCTCGTCAAATATTAATGCTGATCGACTAGTAACAAAACAATTAATCCTTTACACAGCAATGAATTCAAGTGACCAGGTCTGAAGCCAAATCAGGGTTACCCGGACGGCCCCCACACTTCTGACTAACTATGAATGTGAGCAAAAAGCAAGTCCATGATGTCGGGCGCACACGAGGCCCGGGCCACGTCGATCGCCGTCTGACCGCTGAGGTTGGCGTGCTTCAGGTCAGAGAGCGGCGCCAGGAACTCCACGACATCCCGGTGGCCTTCCCTGATGGCGATGTGGATGGGCAGGGCGCCGCTGTGGTCCGGGAGGTTCACCGAAGCGCCATACTCCACCAGAACTCGCAGAGTGTCCGGGAACCCGGTTCGGGCCGCGTCGTGGACCGGCGCTATCCCGTGGTTGTCCTGGACGTTGGGGTCGGCTCCCTTTTCCAACAGCAAACCGGCAATCTTGGAGTTCCCCATCATCATCACCTGCAGGAGGTTTTGGAGGAGAGGGGACAACAAATTCAGTCACTATGGTAACGAGAATATGAAGAACTTTAATGACTACACCCATCTCCGTACAATCAGCCGTCCCTTTAGTTGTTTCACTATTTCAAAAATGATCAGAGATCATTTTTTCAAAAGATAAAAAGAATCAATGATGAGAAACCAGCTACATCCCCGTTTAGTGTTCTCTCATTTACATAAATAGGGCGGAGAACTCACATTCAGTTTAAACCTAAACTGCGCTGCATTGAAGGTTGTATTTCTAGAAAGGATGTTGTATTAGATTGCAATTGGAATATACACTTAGTAGCCAATTAATTAGCCATTTCCAGCAAGTCAAAAATTATTTTTTCTGATGCTTAATTGGTTTCCTGGCAATCTCAGGTAGGGGGATTTGGGTGACAGTGCAAACACAATTTACTCATCTTTATTAAAAGCACAAAGAGCAACACCTGACCCGTAACGCGTTCATAACAGATGCTAATCCGAAGCAGCCATGTCTAGTTGGAAGGAGAGATGACTCACGACCAACGGACCTGATGTTATTGCTACAGACACGAAGCCTGCATTGATCGAGTCGTTGCCCGCGTACAGAGAACCTCCGTTGGGTTCTGGTACCGACCTGCAGCGCCGTCCTGCCGAACTCGTTGAGCGTGTCCGCGGGCACTCTGCATTCCATCAGGATCCGCTGCACCTCGCTCGTGCTCCCGTTGGCTGCCGCCGCCGTCAGAGCTTTACCGGCATCCATCTGGCTCAGGACCATTATATGTCTCTCTTCCTGCCGGGGCAGTGGGAGACGTGCGGCGGTTAGACTGAAACTCAAGACAAAGGGGCTCCTAACGTTGGCAATAAAACGTGGAATGTCGAGGAGGTGCGGTCAACGTTAAGCCGGGACTCGGGACGGCATCGCTAGCTAGCTACGACAAGCATCCGGGCTAACGTAAGCTTCAGCTCCCCGGTGACGCCATGTTATCTCACCGCGCTGGCACTGTGTTGCTTCAACTCGTTTTACGAGCACAGACGCTCCGTGGACGCATCAGTTACACCGGGACAGGGAGACAAGTCACCTCCAATGAATCCTACAAACAATTAGCATCCATGCTAACCGCTAACGCTTAAAAAAAGAGAAACTATAGAGCGTGTAAGCGTAACGTTACCTTGTTCGGTTCCTTAAACTCCACAACGTCGCAGTGACCTTCAGTCCCGCTGTTTCTTAAGACCGGTAGTTTTTAAATAAAATCCAAACTTGGAAAGTTTATAAACATTAGAAAATACATTTGCGCGGTGAGATATGCAGAGCAGTGTCTTCAGACTACAATTTACAAACATTGGAGAGAACCCACGCTGACCAATCACAGCTCGCGCAGAGGGCGTTGCTCTTCCATATATGGCATAGAAGGCGGGGATAGAACTCTGTTACTACACCATTACTGTGGTAACAGCAGCAGTCAACCAATCAGGACACGCAGCGAAGAAAGCGGGCGATTTGTATACGTTAATGTCTTCAAAGGGCAGTTCATTCACATTTCTGACCTGAAGTTGTATTTCTCCAGAGGCAAATGTGAAAAAAGGCGGGTGTAAATGGTCAGTGTGATTGCACAACGCATGAGTAATGTATAGGGCCCAAATATGGTCTGGCAAACTATTAAGAAAACACCGAAAGGGAAACAACTAGTACAAAATTCAAATAAAAAGTCAAATAACATTTTTTTAAAGGAATGATTTCATTAAGCATTTCAATAATCTGCAATGATCACACAATAGAAACATTAAAACACAGTTGTACACGGATTTCATAAAACAACATAGAAAATAGAGTCATTATCATTAAATAGAGTGGTTGAAATTTAAAGACAGTTCAGTTAAAGTTGTCTATGGTTGTTCATCTGCAGGACCAGGTGGAGGTGACGAATACAGAAATTCCGCTGGTTTTACACATTGGTCCGGAGCTGGTAGTCTAAATACAGAGAACAAATATAAGGGGGATTATACAAGTTAAACATTCAATAACCACATACATTATCGGGTATCTGACCAATTGCTGAAATAGTACAGTGTGGTCTGAAGAACACCAAGTCATATTGAGGTTGAATGGAAAAAAAGGAATGAAGGCTACCTCCACTCTGTGTAATGTACCGGACCCACGGTAAAGCCTGGTAACCACTTTTCTCAATGATCTTCATATATCGCACCTGGTGAAAAAGACTGAGTGAGACTGGGAGACAAAATCATGTTGCGGCAAGACACATTAATGTGCATTGTGTATTAAGATGAGATCTGGTCTTACAGGACCAGACATGACTCTGAATGTGCTGTAAACGGCAGACGCCCAATTCAATGATCTTCCCAGGTTTTAAAATTTCTCTTATCAATATATAGAAACACACACACACCTGTATTCCTGAGACTGTGAAGTATGGAATCTCAAATTTGACGGTAACTGGAGGTTTTCCCTCAAGCTCATTGTTTTCCACACTCGGCAGACCAAAATGTGCTCTCATCAGAAACTCTTTACCTCCCTGGATGGATAGATGGACGCACACACAGACAAATGGATTAGACAGACATGAGTTAAATACAGATTGAGCACCGGCCTTTGACCGGAACATCAACTAAAATGCCATATACGCCTTGAAGAATTTCTTACAGGGAAAGACTTGATGGTCCAAACCACCATGTTCTTCTCGGGCACATATTTGGCCTGTCCGGTGCTGGTTTTAAACTTCGGTGAGTCGGCATCACTGGGCACGGGGACCCTCACCTCAACATTGTTTGCCACAGACTGTTTCTTAAATTGACCTTTTGCCTAGAAATACAACACAACGGTTACTGTAAAAGCTAGTTCCCGACACGGAACCTCTTTGCTCCAATTCCTTTGCTTTTCTTGACGGTGTCCAAAGAAAACATCTCCGGTAAGACAAGTACAGTCGGTCAGTACCTTAACCATGATTTCCACTCTGCTGTGAGAGAATTTCTCGATGACGGACTCAATCCATATGAGAGGCTTCACCTGGAAGAGATTAATAGCGTTTCATAAAACAGTTCAAACAACGCAAAAAAGCTTTGAGTTACACACAGTATATGTTCCTTAAATTCATATGTTTACATTAATGCTCCTCTAAGGATCTATGAGGCTTTCTGAGCTGCGATAGCTTAACTCATTATTTCTGCATTTGCACAAGCAACAAATCACGTATATCCATCCATCCATCGCATACAATGTGACACCAGCAACACTCTCTCTCACAGTCTACACATACAGTACATGTATTTACATGAAATAAACATGTATCAAACAGTGTGCGAGCCTTAAATATGGCACATGGTGCTAGTGACAAATACGAAGGGATTAGTAGGCGCAGTAACTAGGTGCTGAATGGGACTAACGTGGGTGTTGATGCGGTACGACATGAGTTCAGACTCCCCGTCTGGAGGAATGAAGGAGATGGTTCGATCGCTATCAAAGCGCGAGAGACGAACACACTGGTGGAACTTCACGTCCTCCATCACCACCGTCTTTCCCTTGTCACCTGAAGACACAGGGACACAATCAGTGGTACTAAACAGGAGCGCATGGGAGGTACATGTTAGGGAGGCGGGTGAACCTACGTCCGGTGAGACCAAAGAGCACTCGATCGTTGAGGCCCAGGCGCAGCTCCGGCATCCCAGAGAGCATCGTCTTCAGCTTAATGCTGCCCACTATGTCGCTGCTCATCACGCTGCCATTGGCATTCACCTAGACAAACAATACGCAGTGGTGGATACGTCGGAATGCTTTGGTTCAATGAACATCGCGGTTCACCTTCTGTTCCCGGATCCTCTCATCAGCACTGGATACGCATAAAAGTAAATAAGGATATTAGAAATATGATGGAAATAAAACCCACTTGATGAAATTAAATTAATGGGTAGTTTCTTTTCACATCAGTGGTGTAGATCTTTATATTTTGTGGGAAAGGGAAAGCTTTGAGAACCCTTTCTGGGGCTAAAATTAAATACATCAGAACCTACTTTTCCCGATTTACTGAGTCAATAAAATAAATGAAAGTGTTAGCACAGTGTCAGAAAAAGCCTAATCTTACGTCATCGTGACTGCGACATGAAGAAGCTCCCACAGTTCCTCCACTACCACTGCTAATAGAGGAAGTTTAACACAAAGCAGCGAATGGATTCTGTGTCACGAAGGAAGAGAATACAAAGGCACTCTGTACTGGCCCCAATGCAGCACTAAATCGGCTTGAACTACACGTAAAAGTGATATTAGCAGCATGAAGGACACAAATAACAATAATTATTCCCACATCCTGTCTTACCAGCACGTTAATGGACTCAATGACATCAATGAAGACCTCGTTCTTCTTGTATTTGATACCCTCTGACCTCCAGGAGACGGCGTTGGTGACGGTGGTCGGCACCTTGGATTTCCCCACCTCGAGCTTGGCGCCTTCCTGAGTGATGTACCTGGGCAGAAATGTGAAGAGAAGACGCTGTGATTCAGCCGCCCTCATCATACTCATGCTTGTCCGCGCATCTTCTGAAGCCTCACTCCTGTAGAATCTTGCTGTCGGTCGTCTGAGGGAATCCAAAGTCCATCAGCTCATCCAGCAGCTCGTAGACGACCACAAAATTATCCTGAATGCTTTCCTCCTCCAGCTCCTTGAAGTATTCGGTGAACACCTGAACAATGCACACAACTCAATCACCTGCATCATCACTATGACCACCGGCTCGTGACAAACATGTCAATCACAAGTCACATACGGTCGGTCGCTCACCTCGACTATTTTGTATAGAAATGAGTATACAAGGGAGGCGTTGGAGTTCTTGTTTGTCGTGGACACCACTGTGCAGAGATCAGGTCAAGGAGCAGTCTACACAGTTAAGTTCACCGCTATTGAATTTTAAGGACAAAATGTAATGATCTGTGGTTACAATCATTATTTCCTCCTGGCTCTGAATAAGCGTGACCAGCAGCCGCCTTGAGGACAAGGATACGGTACAGGTTGCTGTGTTTGATCCACATGAAGTGGACCTTGCCGTGGGACAGCACCGGGCAGAGCAGCCCTTCCTCTTCGTGCTGCATGAGTAAAGGCAGGAAGCGGTCGATCTCCGCCATGTCCACGTCGCCTTTGTAGTTCCGACAAATCAACACCTGAGCGGGGAGTATAACACAGCAACAGAGGGTTAGACAACCGCGTTGAACGGTTATAAATTAGAGAAAAAGACAGCGGATCGAAAACAGAAAAGATGCTCTGTTTCTGATCAGGATTATGAGAAATAATGTTGCAGATCTTGAGGTAATTTTATATTTTCTGGCGTGCGACCTGATGTTGGAATGATGCTACCAGCAACGCTGGAAAAATATAGGATTAAATTTGCGTTTAATGATAAACACTTCTCAATAAGAATCCCAATAAAGTGTAATTGACGTTTCTCTTGCGTATACTAATAAGTGGATTCTAGGTATTATTAATCATCCCACAGTGATTTAATTCCCTACTCATCACCATAACTGATCAATTAAGTATTCAATGGACTTTGATCAAAAAAAAAAAAAATGTTTCTAGTAAATGAGTCTCTGTCGTCACGATTTGCTGCTGTTCCTTCTGAAGGGGGAGTGAATTAAATATCTAAGTGGGACAAAACCCAACAATGTGAGATTATCTTTTTGCATTTCTAATTATTAAACATTTTTAAACAATGATCAACAAGATACTACACTCAATAGTGAATATGATCGTTTTTATATCACCTTGCAGCTCCCAGTCATATGAAATGAACACACCCTTTTTTTTTAATAACACACCTGAAAACACACGCGTGTGCACCGGTTCTCGCAGTGACACTGACTTTGTGTGGCCGGACAGAAGGGGCCGTATGTGGCATATGCGTTGTGACGACAACAACAACATCCAAAATACAGTAACACAAATGCCACAACCGGAGGCCTTTGCCTCCTGGTTTGTTCCAACTGACGTGTATCCGGAAGTAGCGTAGGATCGCTCAATGAATGACTTTATTAATGTTTAACGAGGCCAGCGCCATTAATGACTCGCAGTTTTAAGCAACAGTTCACAACGTCGACTCACTGTAAGAACACACGCGGTGCTTAACGACTTGTCCTCCCGAAAATATAAATTTACCAGCGTCTCCTATCAGCTGCGCATTAGTCTTACCTCCCCCTCCAGATCCAGCACAAATATAGCGGAGGAAGACATGCTGTCTTCTCCACTCAAAAGCACTCAAACTCAAAGAATAAAGCTCAACTCGAGTCGTCAGTGCTTTGGATGTCGTCCCGCACTCATCGGCCTGAGGTGATCGTGGACTCCTTCCGTTTCTTTTTCCTGAAGCGTGTTGTGACGTCACTACATGCAGGTGAAACATTCACCAGGTGAGAGAGAGGGGGGGGGGGGGGTGCTCAGGTTATCCCCCAGAGGGCGCTAAAGACCCACAAACAGAGTGTGATCATTTTATCTGGTTGACGTCAACTGTCCATGAAATATTAGACTTTGACTTATAAGAGCAAGTCAGCCCTAAAATCAATTAACTGGTGTTTTGGTGTTAGTTTGCCAAGTTTGCCAGTTATTGGCCGATATCATTGGTCGGCCTTCTCTCCAATGTAATTGTCTATATGCATACTACTACTACTACTACTACTACTACTTGAATGCTGAGAATCTGATAATATTTTTGTCTTTTTCTGCTCTGATCAGAAGCTGTGTTCAGTGTTTGTGTTGCTTCTGCAGGACAAAATCTTTTTACTTCCATAAGTACTAAACATTTTCTCCTCAATAATATATATATATATATATATATATATATATATATATATATATATATATTTTTTTTTTCCTTTAGAACGGTAACAGAAGGAAACCTTCTTGCAGTTTGGCAGAAAACGCAGTAGATTTTGTTGTATAGTAAAGTACAATTTCCTAGATGTACTCACATATTGTGACTTTGTTGCAGATGAAATCTGTTTCACCGTGAAAGTACACAATGTTCTGAATTTTTAGAAAACAATTTTGTATTAGGTCAGTAGTGCACTACTTTTTCGGGCCTCATGGTTGCAGAAGCACTTAATAACCATACGCTGTGTATATTTATTCAGCCATAAAAATTGCTCTCCAACATCTTCATGTATTCAGCTTCTTATCAGGCGTGTGTAGGACGGCTGTGACTCACAATAACACACCATGACAGAGGCCTGTGTCTCAGACTGCCGGATAGAGATCAGTCTTTTCAAATGTCCCTCTCCTTTAGTCCATAAAGGCTTGGTGTGGACTGAGCTGCAACCGAGATGGCAAGACCTTAAACCTGATGTGTTCACTCAGGAAATAAGCTGCAGTCATGAAGACCTTTCGAAAGCAGCATTCGAAGCTAAAGTTGTGCGCTGTGAGACTGGTCGCTCTGTTTGACACGGTTCACGAAAAGACCCTTTGACCCTTTGTCAGCATTGTATTGCTTTTTTTCTAGTTGGTGTTAATATCTAAATTATATTGAGGGTTTTAAATGTCAAACTTATACCAGTTGTACATACCAGTAAATGTTTATGCTTTGTTTTTGTGTTCTATTTAGCTGTCTTTAATGTCTTTTTTTATATTATTTATATTTCTGTTGTTTATTTGTACATCTATGTACAACTGAGAGCAATGTGTAACCAAAGACAAATTCCATGTATGTGTAAACATTCATGGCCAATAAAGCCGATTCTGATTCTATATGTTCAGTTATTCAGAATATTCAGTTAAGAAAAGAACATTCTTTCCTTATGTAAATATTACTGTGATTCCCCTCAGCTTCAACCACAGTAGTGTAGCAGGTTTAACTCCCCCCTCCCTGGCTCTTTTCGGTAAGCACATGGCTGAAATAGTATTCTAACACTCATCTCTTTGGAATTGAAATGAGTTCATGGTCTGAACTCAATCAGTTTTAATGCAAATTAACATATTTTTTTCCATTTCTTGATACTTCAAGAAAATGACAATGAAAACAATTGTTAGTTGAAGCCCTAAACGTCCGTTCAAATTCCACGGGCGAACATTTGAAGCTCCGCAGTACTTCCACAGGGATTATTACAGTGAATAGAAGACGGAGGCAAATACAACGATGACCTTAAATCCATCACAGATTGGTTCCGTGGGAAAGACGGCTGTGAACTGTAGTCTGTAACCTCCTCCTCCAGTCGCCTGGGAACCCCTGAAGTGCTCCTCTGTTTAAAGCGGAGGGATACTGTCGGGGTCACAGCGGTTGAGCTCAGCATGGAGGCTCCGATCGAAAGATATCAGTGAGATTTCCTGCAATGCAAATCCGGGACGACGGCTTCTCGAGTGCTACTTTTGTAATGGACGCCGGATGATACCCAGCAGAGCAGCATTGTCTTTCAGAGACACAGCAGGTCGTCCTCAGCTTGATACTCCAGAGCACAAAGTGTCGCTGAGGCTCAGTTTTGGCCCTCGGGTTGTCAGGCAGCGCTCAGGAGGGCCTGTTGTTGTTACCTTATCATTCAGGACGGTTGGAGCCCTGTTTAGCAACCTGACAGGGGAATACTCTCCCTGCCCCCCCGCTGTCCCCATCCTCCACCTGCATTGTTTCACTGTCATTTTTCTGAGGGCACTCCCCTTCCCTCAGGCGCGTGCGGTGGTGTGAGCTGAGCTCCGCCCTTCGGCTTGCCAGCGGGCCAATGGGGCGTCCGTGATAGGGAGGACAAGGCGCATAGCAGGGCACAGGTGTCACGCGTCCCCCGGGCCTCAGGTGTATCTGCCTGTTTGTCTCATAGGTCTCAGGCTAATTTGTTCTGATAGGAAACTGTCAACAACGATGCTGCTTGTTGCTATTGAAACAAGCATTAGTAGCAATCGGCACAATTTTTATCAAGAATTGAATAACAAAGTCTCAAGTAAAGCGGTAGTACGGAAGCTAAGACACAACTTGGCCTTCGACGCGGGTGATGCCAGCGGAATGTGGATCCCAGGTCCTGAAAGACGACATACCAAAGACTTTGAGTAAAAGACAATGAGAGCTGTTCAGTGTGTCCTAACACCGCCTGTCACTGACGTCAAACACAAACTCATACACACTACTGCAGGTCCTAAAAGCTTTTCTTGTAATTTTTATACCCATTAAACCATTGTTAAGTAAAACCACGAGAGTCAAGAGAGATTTTGAAGTTTAAAGAGTAGAAATTCAGACTGTTCTCACTTCTTCTGCAGTTGTCTCAGTTGCTTTTGAGTGATTTTGAACAAAAGCTGCCTTTATTCTGTAAACTATAGTGCATGGACGGATTGCTAAAAAAGTAATCATTCATGTCAATTGTTTGGGTAATATGAATTAATTTGAATACAATTCAACATTCCCTTTACTTTTACTCATCAGAGCAGAGCTTTTAGAAAAAAACCAATACCATGGGTGGAAAAAAATGTGGGTTTTGAGGTGAAAATTTTCCACCGCATGACGTCTGTCGTAAAAATCCACTTTCTCTACAGACTATAAAGCTCAACACACACAGTTGCTGCTCTCTAATGCTCTATAATGTAAGTCGCTTTGGATAAAAGCGTCAGCTAAATGACCTGTAATGTAATGTAATGCACTGTAGTGGTCTGAGCACTGTGGTCACTCTCGTGGGGGAGGAACCATTATTAAACATGAATTATGGAGGATGTGTATTAGATTACAGAGAGGATGTTTGCTGGTTCTTTGCTTTCATTGGCATGTCATCCCATCCCAGGCTATTGGACATCACCTGTAGATCTCTTTTACACAACCTTTGTTGAATTCTACATTAATGGTTGATTTATATTTATTCAATTGGGGAGTGTTATTAAACGAATGCTACTGAAGGTGGAAAGTCCACTGAGGGGTTATGAAGTCATGACGTCTGTTCCAAATCCAAAGACAGCTCAGCGCTAGTCTATCGGAGGATATACACAGGTTCTATGTCTAGTGATGATAAGAGTGAGAGTTAAAAGAAGGACATTTGTTCATATCGTTGATGGAGATGCGTTTAAGAACTCATCCGCTCAGCGTTTCAAGGACAATTAACAGGTTTCATGGGCAGCAATTGTACCACAGATAATCAGCAGAGAGCTCGGCAAGACATTCAGCAGTGATCACTTCATATCTGGTGTCCCCATATTATCTCATTATCAGGCCTGCATCCGATGGGAAGGTTTCTCATGTCCCAGTTTAGTTCAGTCATAATATAATTCTAGTGAAACCGACCTCCATTGAAGAGAAACAGACGATTTAAGAGTTATACTTTTAAATAGAAAAAGACCAACACATCCAAAAGAGAACAAAGCAATGTGCATTAACAAGACAGACATTTTTGGTGCGTTGCACATTACATACAGAATGTGATTCACCGTGAAAACCACAAGTCAAAGAAACACAAAAAGGTGAAGTAAAATAAATTATGTAATTTTTTACTGAAAAACAGGCCATTGTGTAAGAGACAAAGAGCACTTATTTCAAGTTGCGGCCCCACGCTGCAGTAGGGACACAGACCAGATATCACACAACAACAACAACAGAGCAAAACAAGTCTTGATTGAACAGTTTACAGCCGTGCAGAGTAACAGCTATACTGGCTTAGCTGGAACAAAACCAGTCAGATAACTACGATCAAAAAACTTCTCATAAATAAATAAGAATCTGACATATTTACATTTTCTCTTGAATAAAATGTACAAATGTAAATCACCAACGCCACGGCAAACTTTAGTTTTCCATAATATTCACAGGAACTATTTACATGGCTATAGTAACATTTTTACCTTGCAAAAACCGAACATTTTTCTTCACTTTGGTTGACTTCAGAAACTGCAGCTTTTCCCCATTTACAGTGCAAGTAAAGTGTGATTCTGCACACTGAAAAAAAAACAAAAAACAGCAAGAGTACCAATACAAATGGGGTTTACGTTGAAGACGTGATGGATGAGACAAACGTTTATATTGGAAACTATATGTGCGACCCTTTACCCAGAAGAAGAGACTGAAGGCCACCACTGCGTGTGGCTAAAGCACAAACTACCACAGACTCTGGTTTGGGAGGTAGTGAGGTCACTAAGGCATTTATGCACATCCCATTAACCCAGTTGAATTATTTGTGTGAACTGAAGGCACCTGCATGTACAGATAGAGTAGATCAGGGTTTGCAAGGGAAACATTTATGAGGAGGCCATGTTGGCAGCAAAGTACTTCCAAATAGTCCTCCGGGATTAAGAACATAATCTTTTGAAAGCAAGGCATCCTTCATTTTAAAGTTATTTTATGGTCCGACTAAACGGCTTCATTCTGTTCGGCTTCATTTAGTCCTTCTAACGTCTTGGACGGCACAATGTGGAGGTCATAAACATAAGCTACAAAATGAGCACCTGGGGGGAGGGAAGGGAGAAAAAAAGAAAGAAAAAAAAAAAAAAAAGGCCACTGTTGCTTCATGTTTGCAGCAGAAAAAACCTCACGTCACAATCAGCTGGTGTCTTCGTCTTTGGCTCATGCCACATCAATGTCGTCCATGCTCACCATCTGCCTCTGCAACACAAGAGAGTAACACTGAATAGCTGCATAACAATATACAATATGGAGCATATAAATATGCATGCATACGTCTATTCTTACGGACTATTTGTAATGAACAATAAAGTGACTTGGGATCAAAGTGAAGATACCTGGGGATAAACGTAGCCCTCAGAGCCGTTCCTGCAGATGTGCATCTCGTCCTCAGTGGTCTTCTGGTACACTGGATTATCAAAGTGGATGGTGTTGGTGTTCTTCAGACGCCAGTGTCTCCATACCCACATTGCTCCAAAGACCAGCAGGGACATGACCACTGCAGAGCAAGAGAGGACTCGAGTTAGAAGAAGTAGGGAAAGTTGGGCTCTTTATGGTGGCATGTAGTACAAGAGAGTCATAAAGAGCTGAACTATGGAACTTACATATTGGCAATACGACGTAGAGGGCAACAGGGTGGGATAAATGGGCTTCTTCGGGCGAGGCTGCCAATCGGTTGCCTGAAACAGCAGAAAATACAATAGAACCGTCCCTCAAGTTAGATCAAAAAAAAAACGAAAACGGATCAGCATGCCAACGATTAACATTCATCCCCCGACGAACACTTTAAACTCTGCCTCCTTTTTCCCCCCATTGACATGTGGCCAGAGAATAAGGTGATGTACTCTGATGTGAACTTTCTAGACAGATATTTTGTAATCACTTCAGCACAATCCAGACCCCCTTCCTGTACCTTGAGCTGTAGCGGCAGGCCGCTGTGTGCCTTGCTGGCTAGCCGAGGTAGTTGTATCTTTCTTGGTAGCGGCGGTGGTAGTTGCAGTTGGGGCTGCCGTGGGTGCTTTGGGCGGGAGCAGTGGACTAGTTTGGTTTTTGCCTGGAGGTGGTGGGAATAAGCAAGTCAATAAATAATCGGTTTATACGTATGACTTGATGCTAAATGTGAGTTTCTTTGTAGTGCAGGGGGGAACCCACCTGTCACACACGTCCTCTTGCGGGATCCCATGGTCATGTGGTCAGGGCAGGCACAGGTGTATTTAGGAGAGCGATGGTTGATCTGCGGGGCGGGAAGGCACAGAAACTCGCATCCTCCATTCTCACCACGGCTTCCTGTGCAACTGTTTATACCTACAAGAGAGACAGGAAGAAGCATTTCAAATCCTTGCATGGCCTCCACAGCTTGTTTTTTATTATTATATCTCTCTGGTCGAGAGATGCCTCTGTACCGATTGGCTGCTTGAGGTCGTGGTACAGGACGATGTCCTCTGGATGGTCCAGGTCCGCGGCCAGCTGAGTGATGTCATTCCCGGTCCGGCGGTCGGCACTGAAAACAGCACTGCTGGTGATGTCCGTCCAAAACACTCGGTCCTGTTCAAAGGAGAAATGCATCAAGAGTATTACAACGTTTGACAACATTATTCATCGTTTGCTTAAGTTTCTTCAAACAGATTAATACACTAGCACCACTGATTTAAATTTAGAGGGAATAAAGTACACACTAAGAACTGGCTTTATGCTTTTTAACTATTTCAGCTGGATAACGGTAAACAAGCATGTGCTTTATTACTTTCTAACAAGTCTTAAATATGCTAGTTAAGTACATTGCAAAGTTGTGTTTTAAAATGAATAAACCATGGAGTAATACGTTTGATTTTAGATTCATATTGTTTTCTGTTGGAAAAACTGCACTAGCATCACATCAGCAGGGCCTTTGTGTCTGCATCCTCGTAACAATGATAACGGTGTTCGTCATGTCAGCTGATAGAAGATGTCTGCACTGTCTAGATGACGTCTTGGTGACTCGTGGGGTAAAACAAGCCCAACAAGGTCCATCACTAACCTCAAAGACAGTCAAGGAGAGGGGGTGCGCAAGCTTGTCCTCGCTGACTATGAGACTGTGCCGACTCTCTCCGTTCACACCAATGCTGGACAGAGTGTGCATCTTGGAGTCCACCCAGTACAGACGCTGGTTGACCATGTCTGTCCAGAGGGGACAGGAGACACACAAGGACATGTTAAAGGGGTTTGACTAGTCAATAAAAGTGTGTGCTCTCCATACGGTCTGAACAGAAGTCATTGGTTTCCATTTAATACTTGCATGAAATTTTGCTTACCGAGGGTGATGCCATTGGGCCACATGATGTTATCCGTTACCAAGGCGACGCGATCCCCTCCATTCAACCCGCTCTTCTCTATCTTGGCCTCATCTCCCCAGTCTGTCCAGTACATAAAGCTACGGTGGACAAAATAAAAATGATTTGTAAACAAAATAATTACAAATAAGAAATCCCAATTAAAAGCTCCAGTTGAACCCGTTCTTAATAAATCAAAAGAATTTCAGTAATTTTACAAATTGCCAAAAACCTTGACTTACTTATTCACAGGGTCGACTGTGATGGCTCTTGGCTTCTCCAGATCTTCTGTGATCAGGATCTTCCTCTTGCTGCCGTCTGTCGTTGCTACAGAGATGGTCTTCAAAACGCTGTCAGTCCAGTAGATGTTGCCATGGATCCAATCCACCGCAATGCCTTCTGGGGCCTCAATGCCACTTCCAATAACCTCAGAGTGATAGTGGGAGTTACCCGCCACGTCTAACTTTGAGCTGTTGGGAGATATACGAGTAGTAGTTTTAGTAAGCAAGATATGGCTTTAAAACTAAATGAAAAACAGAGTTCTAGACGCAGTACTTCTTGATAGAGCCTAAGAAACACAAAGTTTTAACCTGTAGATCTTCTTGAGAGACAGGTCGGACCAGAAGATCATCTTCTTAGGCATGTCCATGTCCAGAGCCACGGCGTTCTTCAGCTGGGGGATCAGTCGGACGTACTCGCTGCGGTCCACCGTCATCTTCCTCACCTCGTGTCTATTGGTGAAGTAGAGTGTGGGAATTGTGCCTGGAGGGAAGAAGACATGTAAAAACAGTGTTGCAGCACAAGTCTGTAGGGCGTGAAGACGACAGCTGCTCCTGAGAGTAGGTCCTGAGCGAGGACGGGTTTTCTGCCATTACCTGATTCGGCCCTGCAGGTCTTGCTCACTGGGTCGACCTGGTAGCCCTTCTTACATTCACACTTGTAGCTGCCGGGCAGGTTGGTGCAGGTCTGAGTGCAAGTGTCAGCCTCGGCACATTCATCGATGTCTACAGGCAGAAGGAGAGAAGGTCGATATGCAAATTGAAAGATAAGAGTTCGCAAATAACATGAAGTTAAATATAGTTCCAAAGCTGGTCACAGCCTTCCTCCCAAATATACCTCATTTGAATCGTCAGAATCGCTCCTCTCACCTGCACAGGTTTTCTTGTCCGTGTTCAGGCTGTACCCGGGGTGGCAGGAGCAGTTGTAGCCGACCTTCAGGTTGTTGCAGGAATGGGAGCAACCACCGTTTCCAGTCAAACACTCGTTTTGGTCTATGGAGACGCAGATACACAGAGCTCACTCCCTGAAAACCATTTTCCTAACGGCAGCACAAACTCACTGAATCAAACCACAAACTATCGAGGCCACTCAGCAGAGTCTGCTGGGCCAGCTGGTCCAATCATAATTTCCAGGCTGTGATGTGGTTTCACTTTTTTTACGAGCAGCAAAGAGGCCTCAGCGTATTCCCAATATTTCTTTATTACACTTCCAGGTGTGAGGCTCTTTGGCCGCTGGCTGGCTGGCAAAACAAGTTCTTCACTTACCACACTCGCTCGGTTCATCGGACTGGTCCCTGCAGTCTTTCTGCTTGTCGCACACTTTGTCCATGCTGATACACTCCCCGTTGCGACACTTGAACTTCTCGGAGCCTTCACATCCATTTGCTGTGGAGAGGAGCAGGGGAGTGTGAATACAACCGTAATCTGGCCGCGTGGTAATTCCTCTGCAAAGACACTTGGTCTTACGGGGCCTAAAATACTAGCGTCTGTGTACATTTAGACGCCCGGGTGAAACGGTCACCTGTGTGGCAGTCAATCTCATCGCTGAGGTCCCTGCAGTCGGGCACTCGGTCACATTGGCGGCCGCCATGGATACAAATGCCGTCATTGCACTGGAATTCATCTGGGAGACAGGTGGGGAGACCTGGAAAAAGAAGATAAAAGGACAAACAAGAAAAAGAGACCGTGAAATGAGGCATAGGTTTGATTTCAAGGAAAATCTTAGTTTACATGTGCATCTTCTGTCGTCTTCATAAGTAGATAAAAAGAATGCTGTAAAGCCCGATGAAAGCCAACTCACTGCAGTTGAACTCGTCCGAATGATCCGAGCAGTCATTGCCTCTGTCACACCTCCAGGTGCCGTGGACACACTCTCCGTTTTCACACTGGAAGTCGTGGACTCCGCAGCCCACCTGGGTCTTTTCCGGCAGCCGCCCCACGCAGTTCTGCGGCCACTCGTCGGAGCCGTCGGGGCAGTCCGCGTCTCCGTCGCAGCTCCACTGGGTCGGCACGCACACCGAGTCGTTGCACTGGAAGGAACTAGAGCTGCAGGTGGGTTTGGGGCAGGAGGCCTCGTCAGAGTCGTCCGAACAGTCGCTGTCGCCGTCGCAGACGAAGGCGGTGGACACACATTGGCCGTTGGTGCACTGAAACTGGTCAGGGGTGCATTGTTTGGCCGCTGTGGGGAGGCAGGACGGGGAGAGGAGAGGAAGTCATGTGACTTTAAGGCTAGAGGTGGATCAGGCCTGACATTCACACTAAAAACGACACAACATGCGTGTCATGGTGCCACACCGTCGAGCCGATTGGCCGCTGCTCTGCGCTACCGAGGGAATCACCGCGGACGTTAAGAGTGAAATAATGTGATATGAAACCTACTGCAGTTATTCTCGTCAGCTCCGTTGGTGCACTCGGCTTTGCCGTCACAATGCCAGGCTCCAGGAATACACTGGTTGGTGGGAGCGCCGCAGCTGAACTCGGATGGCTGACATGTTTTTGTTGCTGGGGACAGAATGGAGAAGGATGCTATAAAATGATGTCATGTTTCAAGTACATATGGCCGGTGAGATGCAGCTAGAGTATGAAACCTAACTAACATTTACTTATGGAAACTATTGTGTGGCGTTGTTGCATTTCTGCTTCCCTTTTTTTATGATACAAGCAGAAGATAATAGTTGCGAGTTTAAATTTTCTTATTCTGTATTCAGTCTCAGAGTAATTTATGATGAAAGAACCCACCACACGTTGCGGGAAGTTCATCGGTTCCATCGCCGCAGTCGTCGGTTCCATCACAGATCCACCTGTTGGTGACGCACCTCCCGTTTCCACACTTCAACTGGGTGGAGCTGCATATGAAGGCTGCATCTGTGAGTGAAAATGATTGAATATGCAGAGACATTATCAGCATTTACTGCTATATTTACATGTTCCTGCTCGTAAGCACCAAGTACAAAAATGAGCTTGCGTCAACACAAAAAAAAACCCAGTATCACTGTGAGGTTAATAAATAATTGGAAATTACACATTGAAAGTCACCGGTGTTCAGATAACTGACAGACACACCTTTTCCTCTTTGCTTAACGGAGAACAACACTGTCTGGATCCCTGACTCATGTTTGAACAAGATATGAAGTAATCGGTCTTTCATGTCACCTTCCTTTGCGGCAACACATGAACCAGTATTACTGTTTTTTTCTTTATTCCCTCATTACAAACACATGCAGTCATATCCACGAACCAATTCCACTTTACTTAATGTCCCCTTCACTTTCCAAGATAAAATAAATGATTCACAAAATGAGACTTGTATTCATTGAATGTACAGAAAAAGAGTTTGATTTGATGATGCAGCATGTCCAACCGAGCCACACGCCTCTGATACTCGTTTGTTGTTTAGTCATTTCTGGTATGAAACAGGACTCACACGCCTCTTTTTGTCGTGAAAGTGGCAACGGCTTCACTGCCCTGCAGAAGAAGAAGTATGACCTCAAAGAGTGACCTCGGCTTATTTGGGACACAGAGGTTTCGCCCCGGGACGATGACACCTCCACAAAACCACAAGAGAGCAAAGACGGCATCGACATCACGGCACTTTAAACCAACGAGGGCAGCTCACACTCCAACCACTTTCCTCCTCCATCACCTCTGCACCGCCAGTCTGTCCCAACACCTGGAGGCCGGGGACGTGACCGACTACGCCTTTAAGACAATGGCCTGGGAGGAGTTGAACAATCACACCACCGGTGGCTGATTGGTAGATTCCTCATAACAGCGTCACCACGGTGACAGAGGAGGAGACTCCGAACACAAGGAAGTCAATGTGTGTGTCAATAAGTGATTAAATTAGGGACAGTACGGGTGTGATGGGTTACGATATGAGGGCCAGTCGGGAAATTGTGCAAGGGGAGGCGTTCTCAATCCTACAGGCTTACTACCAGAATGTCATGCCCCAAAAAACAGACTGTAGTCAAGGTTTGTTTGGGGGGGGGGGGGGGGAGAACTTTGGCTGATATTGAGAAGCTGTTCCAGTCTAACCCACACGCCTTCAGGGAAACCACGGCAAGCCCACGCTCACACATGGGGGACGGGGTTCCAGGAATAGAGTCTCCGAAGCTGTTTCTCATGAACCAGCTTTTCCTAAAGATGTGCTCGGTGAACAATGACGACAAGGCTCTCGCTCGCTTTCCCACTCGAGAACCGTTCATTCATTCCCGTCGCAGAGGAGGAAGCAAAAGTCGGTCCAGCGCTGAACTTCAAACTCCTAATCTTCCACATATGGTTCAAGAAGTTAATAAAAGGAGGTGTTAGAATTAAGTCTTTGCATGAAGTCTTTTGTGTGGTCAAACGTTTGTCTCGTTGAATGTAATAGTCATGTACTTTCATGACATCTACTTCAAACCTGACTCAGTAAGCCAAATCTCAAGTGTTGCTGATATTTTTGTAACTTCAAGTAAACAGTCTCATAAGCAAAAAGAAACTGCATCTTATTCAGTAGATGCCATTTATACGCACAGCGCAAACATGACATCCAACGAACCACAGACATACACACAGCAGACGGCTATGATTCGCCCAAAAACTTCTTTGACAGCAGGAACTTCTGTAATGAAGGGCAGATACTGCAAAGAGGTCAGACAAGTTGTCACCACAATGCTGCATGACAACAGTCCCCCTGTGAGACAACGACTCGTCCCCTAACAATAGCAACCGGCCTTTTATGACATGTGCATGTAATACAAACACACACACACAAAAAACTTTACAAAGAGGTCTCTGTTGACTCAAACACACTCCCAGCGGTAATTGAATAACCATGATGCATGTGCTCCAGGAGGAGGCCACTTCCGCAGTGATCTAGTGTAACTGCACTTTAATAGGACACATTCACAGGGGTTTCTTTTGAGAATTGACTTCCCAAATGCAAATATCTCATCTGATGATCTCATTTTAAAAACTACACGTTCCGTACTTGATAGTGAGGTTCCCGTCTGTAACTGAATCAATCTGCAGCACCTGTGCAACATCCATTTGACTAGTTGGACATGATGCGTTACTAAAACTAAGGATGTTTTAATATGCTTCTATTCCTTTTAGCACATTATGCCTGGACGCTGGCGTCTTTCGGTGCTTTAACCGCACCCTTTCTAGTTGACACCGGCCGGTTTCTGCGCTTGTTCCGCCCACCTGAAACCTGACACGGGCCGGTGACACGGGCCGGTTCGACTGGCTGTTCGCTTGCGTTCTAATGCAACAAACCAATCACAGCGCGGTGCGTACATTCCATTCATAGACTGAAACAGTAAATCTCACTGAATTTGGTTTTCCTTTATGATCCACGTCCTCAGTGCATCACATTCATTCAGAATCCCAAATGAACAAAACATTTCCCAGTTTCAGATTATCCTCAATCACAGTCCTTGTTCAGCGCATAATTCATGGCGTATACAAACAATTCCAAACCAAAACAGACCAAGACCAATTGTTTCACGGGTTTATATTCATATTAACAGCCGCAATAAATAAGCTCCGCCAACTTCGACGCAGCGGTGCTGCTCTCTGTGCGGTAAGAAGCGGTTTTCCTGCCAGGAAGCGTCTTACCTGCTCGAGGCAGCAGCATCAGCAGGAACCATGTGCACAGCCCGAGTCCCCCGCGAATCCACGTCATGCTGAGTCCCGCTGGCTTCTCCCTACTCGACCGCTGAAGTGGGGCTACGACGCGCGCGGAGGTGGAGATGGAGGTGGAGGGGTTCACAGCAGGGGACCTGCGGAGGGACAGAGGACGTGCAGGGAAAGCCGAGCGCCAGCTAAACAATGCCGGGTCCGAGTGCCATCCAACGAGTATCTATGAGGCTGACGGGGGGGCGGGGCCAGAGCGGTGGTGTGATGTTTGAAGGAGTTCACGGCACCACTGGGGGGGCGGAGCCAAAGGGTGCTGTATCACTGTGCGGGGTGGAGATGAATGAAGGGAAGTGGACGAACGAGCAGCCAGAGCATCTTATTGGACGTTGAGTGATGAGACAGCAGTTCCTTAAAGACATCAGGCCCATCGAGCCTTCACAGAGGTCACTGTGATCATTTCGTATTGGGAAAGAATGAAGACACCCTGTTTATATGAATAAAGCGGGTTTGTGGGTGGTAATCGAGGGGGATGCTGTGGCTTTGTTTCACAACACATCCACATCGGTTTCGCTATTGCCCCTATCGATACAAATACATTTTTAAAAATGTGATCCAGATTAAAACAGCTCACAGTTTGGACGAGAATCTACGGATGCTCAATCAGTTTGTGATCAGCGTCTCTGATCACAAAGTGGAGACAGGTTTGGTAGACAAGGCCAGGGTAACACTTAAGGGTGAATTTCCATCCAGGATCCAGGGGATCCTACATGTGTGTGTGTGTGTGTGTGTGTGTGTGTGTGTAGAGTAAGTCAGGCTCCAAGTCAGGGAATGAGCCATGGGAGTTATTCCTGGAATGTGGAAAAAGCGGCTGGATTACATACTCTCTGTTCCACCAAGCATCACTACGCCCGCTGTTACCACGCCCCTCTGTGCATGCGCATGTGTGAGCGTGCACGGTTCATTTCTAAGTATTGGTGTACTGTACACAATTGAGTAGAACATCTATTTATATTCGACATCAATTTAAGGAGGACAGAAGTGAGCCATGTTGAGCAAATACATTACAGAGTAAAAACCACAGTGACTCTTAACAAGAGACAATGGGCCTTTGTTGCTGAAGGCATTTTGATTTGGTATCGTAGCAAAGGTACAGGTGTTGCCAATACTATTTCTCTTCAACAGGCCAGTGAACCACAGCAGTGACGCAATGGACCAGGAATCACAAAACTGAAGCATTAGTTAAGCCATTATGCTGTGCTGTTCATGCTGCGAAACGTCAGATTGTCCCCTGTGGATCCCCTGTCGCATCTCGGATCAACGTTGAGAACAATGTTTAAAACAAGGACGCTGTTTTGGGTCACTGTTTTTGGTATAAAAAATTTGCAGCATTATTATGTTTGTCTTAAATCTTTGAGTGATTTGAAAACTACTGCGTGCATTAAAATGAAGCATGGACAGATCGATGAACTGGAAATAAAGTTAGTTTGGCTCATTTGACAAAATCTCACCAATCCTGATATTGGGATTTTGCACTTTCAAACAGCTGGATGGCGAAAAATGTATTCATCATCATGAATTATTATTATTATACTATTCTGGTAGGATTGCAACTATGTTTGCAATCCTACCAGAATAGTATAATTTAGGAAAAAGGTGACTTCTGCACAATAATCCACAACACACAACAAACAATAATAGATAATACATTTCTCTAAAAATCAACAATATTATTATATCATGTTCATCACAAACTACATCACCAATGCTCAAGGTGAGCAGTGTTTGTAGTACACAAACCCTAAAAAGTGTGTCAGGGTCGACCCGGTGGAGGCCGGCCAGTAGAAGGTCATGGGGCGTGGCCCCACCATGAAAAATACAACCCCCCCTCCCAAAAAACAATATATGTGTGTTGGAAAAACTGCAAATAATGTGTGTCATGAGATCAATAAGGCTGTACTACTCAAGGTTTTTGCTACCCTCAGCTGGCAGACATCTTGTCTGTCGAGATTGGGGGCGCTGGCCTCGGGAGGGACATTCTGTCTCCTGAGGGTAAACAATTCTCTGTATGTGCCTAACCATCCCTGTGTTTTGATGCCATACCTGCAGTATATATTCCTGCTCCAAAGATGAAAACCTTTGAGCAGGGTTGGCGCATGACTTGTATGTGTGTCAACTTTGTCTCCTGTTTGCAAACATTAAATAACCTGTTTTGATGATTTTACGCCGGCGTCGAGTGAGAATTTTTCTGACATAATTCGGTCCTTCGAGCCGGATCCCAACAACTCTTTTTTCCTCTCAAGTTTGGACCTGAAACCGTACGAGGGAGTCTGGGACTCCTTTTCAATAAGTCCTCCACCCCAAGTCCGTTACAGGATTAGTTTGGATTGTTGAGAGGCCAGGTTCTACTTGAGGTGGATGGGAGTGATGAGATCCGTTAACTAGCGAACTGTGTTTTTTCTTCATTACAGGTAAGAAAGCTTTCGGACCGTCTCTGGGTTTCGGGGGGAAGGTTTTTAAGAGGGAACTCTTTTGATTTCGGAGTTCAGTGTCTGTGTTTGGGGGAAGGTTTTCTTTAGGACTCTCTTTGGGCATTTGGGAGGAGTAGTTGTTTTGTCTATACAGGGGGTTCAGGGAAATGTTCTATGGGTATTATTGGGTTTGCCCTTAAACTGGCGTGAGTTGGCGCAGGACAAGATACTGTGGTGCAATCTTCAGGGGTTTTTCTTGGAATCTTCTATAGAGTTTTTACCTTTTAGCCCGGCACGAATTGGTGTGGGGGCCTGGAGACTGGGGTTGTTTCTGATAACCTTGACAGGTCTAAAAACAGGAATCGGGTTGTTCCGGAGTTCAATTGTCAGTAAGGCATAAAAACGTGAATCGGTTGTTCCGGAGTCCCGTGTCAGTAAGGCATGAAAACGATAATCGGTTGTTTCAGAGTTCCGTGTCCCTAAGGCTAAAAGTGAGATCGGTTGTCTCAGAGTTCTGTGTCCCTAAGGCTAAAAGTGAGATCGGTGGACTCCAGCCCCTCCGTGACCCTGTGTGCAGGAAAAGCGGTTTGACAATGGATGGATGGATAGCACCTCAGGAAAGTACATTTATCTGTTCTATGATGGTATCATGATTTGTGAATAATTTTCCTACCTTTTATGTTCAAACAAAGTTTTTATGCTTTCTTCACTATTAAGGCGTTTGCAGGCTGAGAGAAGGCTTAAAAATGCACAAAACACAAGCATGCATTGGTTAACAGTGTTTTCATCAAACTAGCACCTCAGGAAAGTACATTCATCTGTTCAATGATGGTATCATGATCTGTGAATAGTTTTCCTACCTTTTTTGTTCAAAGTTGTTATGCTTTCTTCACTATTAAGGCGTTTGCAGGCTGAGAGAAGGCTTAAAAACGCACAAAACACAAGAATGCATTGGTTAACAGTGTTTTCATCAATCTAGCACCTCAGGAAAGTACATGTATCTGTTCTATGATGGTATCATGATTTGTGAATAATTTTCCTACCTTTTATGTTCAAACAAAGTTTTTATGCTTTCTTCACCATTAAGGCGTCTGCAGGCTGAGAGAAGGCTTAAAAATGCACAAAACACAAGAATGCATTGGTTAACAGTGTTTTCATCAAACTAGCACCTCAGGAAAGTACATTCATCTGTTCAATGATGGTATCATGATCTGTGAATAGTTTTCCTACCTTTGTTGTTCAAAGTTGTTATGCTTTCTTCACTATTAAGGCGTTTGCAGGCTGAAAGAAGGCTTAAAAACGCACAAAACACAAGAATGCATTGGTTAACAGTGTTTTCATCAATCTAGCACCTCAGGAAAGTACATTTATCTGTTCT